GCAAAAAAAAATCCTTGATAAAACTGAGTATAGCGACACATCGGGTGAGGAAAGGTTTAAGGGCACCTTCAAATTAGACGCTTATAGAAGCGAAGCTGGCGCCGCGTATCACGAACTCACGACAGTGGCGTTGCAACTGCGCTTAATATTGAATGAAAATGAGTAGTGACACGGCTGCAGCGTCACAGTGGCGCCACTGCAGCAGTTCTACAAGCATCTAATTTAAAAAGCGCTCTATAAATGTTATCCAAAATAAGCATTGGATGTTATTGAGTTTTTTCAAGCTCTTTGCATCTGCTTAATAGTAACATGATATAGTTTAGTTGGCTTATTTAGTCCCATGGCTGGACACAGGCCTCCTCTGATTATGGGAAGGCTTGGGCTGTAGTTCCCATGCGGGCCGAATTGAGAACTTCACACACTTCATTAAACGCATTGCAGACGTATGCAGGTTTCCTCAACATGTTTTTATTCAGCGAAAAGCTCGTGGTAAATTTCAAATAAATTTCGCACGGTAGTGATTGTTAGGTTTGGCAGAAGAAGCATGAAAGTAGAATTAACGCATTGGAAATGAGAGCTTTGAGAAGTATGCCTGGAGTAACTCTGATGGATAAATTACGGAACACGGCAAGGAAGCGGCGCGGCAAGAAGATGAAATGTGAAAGATAGAGAATTGGTTACATGGTTCGGATATGTACAAAGAATGAATGAACGAAGTTTGCCGAAACAGGTTGTAAAGGCCGACCAGTGAACTTACTACGACACAAATTGAGGACGTCCTTAAGAAAGACCAGGTCAATAGTACCCTTAACCGACAAGCATCTATGAAAGCACTGATGCGTGTTGATGAGGCGAAAGATGTATGTCAGGATTGTAGCAAGTGGAAGCCTATTGTCTGCCTAAAAGGAAAAAGGCGTGAAGTATGTATGAAAGTTTATGTAAATAGGTACTCGAGTCAATTCCGATATTTTTTTATGTTGTTAGTGATGGGACGAACAAATGGTGCGTCTGGCGGTAAGCAATGCAGTGGCGCTCAAATTTTTTAAGTCGCAATGATCCGAGGGATACTGCCTTGAGGCGTAACTTGACCAGTCTCATGTGCCTTTAATTTCACCAGCACCCTTAATCCTTCAAGACCAAAACATGATAATGCTGGCGGCAGAAATAGATAAAGTGGCAGTACTTTCCTGGGCGACGTGTGAATGCATTAAACCTTCGCTGTGACAATACCGTGTCGAAATAACCACTGGGATACCAAATTGTCGAAATTTTTAATCAATAAAATGTATTGACCTGAATTGGCTTCGTGTATTCATATGTTACTGACGTCAAAATATGTAAATATTATAAGGATACATCGATCACGTACATTTATAAATTTTCTAATTACTCCGAAAGGATAGGGTGGTACAGAACTGTTTTCTAAAGTCCAAACTTCGGAGCTATTCAAGTTTTACGGACCTTGACGATTGCGTTATTAACCTATTTCATATTTTGTTGTTATAATTTTCTCGCTTGTCAATTCGCTATTGCAAATAAAAGTTTGCCTTAAATGTTTAGGTATTAGGTTCATATTAAGACAACGCAGCGGCATTCGCAGTGATATTTAAATTATCGAATATATTTTGAGAACATGTCCGCACTTAACATAGAATAATTATTAATTCAAAGATAGTATAATTCCTTCTAACAGGACTCGTACCTGCGTCTGTCTTGCCAATCTAGGGCAATGCTCTACCAACTGAGCTACCTGGGGCTTTATGAATTTTTCTATGCGGTTGTTACAGATAATAATTTTTTAGCTTTTTGACTGTAGAGAGACCAGTGAGAAATCTGTGAATGTTTTTTCATCAGAATATTATTCAAAAGTACCGAATTAAAGTTTCTCAACAAAATTTGTGTTCGGCTGTTTTCGTAAATCTCGAATGCCTCCGAAACTTGGACTTTAAATACATACCGTAATAGTATACGCAAGAGCAGACTGTCTGTCGAAGTTACGAAGTATCTATAAAATAGATATACCTGCATCTATCACGCGTTTACACTGTCAATATTTACGACAATTGCCGTCATTAATAATTTCAGTTTTATTGGTCAAATGTTGGTGGCTAATTATCGGTCATTTTTGTCTTTCCGTCCACCCCTCTCTAATTATTTATTCGGAGGCCTTGAATATTCTTTATTTGTTTGAAATTTTTGGTTCCACGTTTATGTCTTATCATTATTTATGCTATTTTATGTCTTATGGGGTGGTTATAATGGAATGGTTAAATATAGTTAGTATTATTATATGTGACGTTCTTAAACATTGAAGGGCAAGCAAGAGAAGATGATTGACATGCCATAGTTTGTGGGGAAATATCACAAATGAGAGGTCTGTACCTTGTATACTAATTTGGTATTGATGTATGCATCGAGCATGACAAATTTTAACGAAAATACCATATTTAAATGTTTGACAATGCCGTGCAGTTATGGTTACAAATTAGCCCGTTATTACATTTGATTATATTCTGGAACCAATCACATGAGAATGTGGCAATTGGAGGTCTAGACTCACTAGAGATCTAAGAGCGAGTGTCCGAGCTCAACATAAACGATCTAAAATACAAAAAAACATTTAAAAAAAATCTAATTTGTTATCAGCGGTGATTTCACATTAAACTAGAATTTTATTTTATTTCGATGGCGGCAATAAACAAACATAGATTGGGGTTTCTTATTCCATATATTACTACTGGCAACTACTGGGATATTTTAAATTCCATTTGTCGCTAGTGGCAGCAACAGATCTTTTTATCTCTCTTGTTACCGCCTGGTAACATATGGGTTTATTTTTCCATTTGTCGCCAATGGAAATCACCACTCACAACAACTGAGATTTTTTTCCCATGTATCGCCAGTGGGAACAAAGCCAGTGGTGACGACTGGAAATAAACGCAAAATATGCCGAAATTAGGAGCTTTAAGTATTTTTATTTACATTGACATAAATATTGACCAAAATCCAGTGTAAACGCACTCTATATATTGACAAATAGTAAGAGTATAAAATACGAAACATCTTTAATATTAAACATTTACAACAACTACATATAGTAAACTTTTCTCTCAAAATTTTACGTTATTAAATTTTTGACACCAACTGTACTAAAGCTGATTTCGAAGTCAAGCTTACAACTCGCGCGGTATATGACAAATGTAGGATTTAAGAGCGATATCGAATTAACGAGCGCCTTCAAATTTAGAAACTTGTAGAAACGCTGCAGTGGCGTGACTGTGGCGTGGCAGCCGTGCTTCTGTGTAGCGCTTCAGTTTTTTGTTCACTAATTGTGACTGCAAACGCCCCTTTAAATATTGTATGAAAATTATTAGTGGCAGTACTGCAGCAGATAAGCGTCTAATTGGAAGGCGCCCTAATACTCGACTAAACATTCTTGTGTTTTTGCACACTCCAACACCATTCACACATTTGCATTCAGTTCTATTCTATGTAATTTCAGAGCTTTATCTCATACTACAATCAGTATTGGGCAAAATTTAATTGTTCTGGCAATTAAAGATTGACAATTAATTAATTGTCAATTGCGAAACAGCAATTAACGATTGATCAATTGTTAGTTGCGAAAGCCGCAATTAACAATTCATTAATTGTTAATTGCGGTTATCGCAATTCTCCTGAGGTAAGGTACCCTTACCTCAGGTCCCATTTAAATTAAAAAAAAAATATTCGACTTCTAAGGGTAGCAAACCAGGGGATACATGACTTTTGAGGTCGGTTTTTTAGTTTTTTTTTTATCGTTAAACATTTCGCAATTCGCAACTATAATAAACATGTATCTTATTTTTAAAACACTAATAAATTTATAGGCGTCCCACTCTGAGGGAAAAAATAATGGTAACACTTAAAAAGAACCCCTATTATGTTTTGGTACAGCACCCTTCAATAAGGATTTGTGTTGTATGCCCCCTCATCAACCTCCTTATACTACCTCTAATTTTATCTGGCCTTATGCTACCCTTTCATTTCCAGCTCTCTTTTATACAATCTGCACTTCAACTGCAAAATAGTAGTTAGAATGCAGTTGTCAAGACTGCACCGTAACTGTTTGGCAATTCTGCACAACTGCACTCCAACAACTGTAAAAAAGCTGCCGAAAAGTAATTTCAATTGCTTTCTACTCAGTCAGCACAACTGCTTATGCTATCCTGCAAACTTACTGCAATACAATCGAACCCACTACCTTCAAACCACTTTCTATTACTAGCTTTACAGGCACTGCCAAATCCCAAAATATAAGTAGGCATTGTCACCATATTTTATCACAAGGGTCAATTATTATTATTGTATATTAATAATAATATATAGCAATAATAATTGTATATAATTCCACATGGCCATTGTAGGCACAACTCCGAAACCAGCCTAAATGCTACTTATTACGTTAAATACTAGGTCCTGTACTGTTATAACATCAACACATAGTATCCTATAATCTAAATGACATGATACATGGGGAACCTACAAAAGCGGTAAAAGAAGTAGCTATTTTTTTTGCAGAGGAATAACATTCAAAAGCGCGGTCTAAACTGTTTGTGTTTTCTGACATGTTTGTGTTGTCAGTTGAAGTAATAATTACTTCTGTTAAATAGATAATTGCGAAATTACCTACTGCAGCATCGTCGTGACCACAAAAAACTGTTGAATAGACTAATTCTCATCTACAAATTGTATCCTATTTCTCTCCTGGTATTAAACCAACCAATTGACATACCATTTGTTGCTAAACCACCTAAGTAAAAGTTTAGCTCTTAATCTTAACAATCTGTGAAATTATTGTGTGTAAATTTTGAGCTTTCAGTGCTGATTAGCTGCTAATTATTTATTTGAAGCCAGTTTCATAACTGAAGCTATTAATAATATTATTAATCCTTTGTACTGATGATGGAGTCCAAAGAAATATTTAAGCTTAATCTGTTTTGAAGCCTCAGCCTTTTTAATAACCTCAGAATTCAAACCTGGTACAATCCTTCAAAGTGAGTGTAGAACAAATCAATTGCTTGATTGACTCATTTGATTCATTTGTTTCATCTGATTCATAAGATAGTTCCGATTCATTTGATCAATGGCTTCAAATCTGGATTTGAGTTTCAACAATCTCTTATACATGTTCAACTTCTCAGTTGTGAAAGGCAGCTTTGTTTCACTTTCCTGAAAATTTAAACAAAAACTGAAAAATATGATTCTCTATGAGTCAATTCTGTATAAGATCCACCTGGGATTCCTTACTAAATTTATGCACAATTATTCATTTTCATTTGTGGCTATTGGCTCCACTACACTGTATTTTAAACTGTGTACATATTTTATCATTTCAAAGGAATTAAGCTCTCATAATTTAATAACTGACGAATTAACCCTAACCTCATCTAACGTTACATAGTTCCAATGAAGTGGTGATGTCAATAACACCAAATATTCAAGCGGGTGATATCAATACTTACATGAGGAAAGAAGTAAAACTCCAATAGGTAAATCTCAAAAAAGGTTGCAGCAATGATAACCGGTCCAGTCCTTTTCTCGCATACATCCAATTGTACTGCAAACTTCCCATCTGGCAAAATAGCTATGTTCTCAAAAATTGGTTTAAACTTGAACTTTTGACAGTCAAGTCGGTATAGTAAAATCTCTCCAGATCGAGTACCAATCAGCACAACATCCGCATAGAAAAATAAAGCAGTTATTGGTGGAAAGTCCAAGTATAAATGCTTGTAATGGTTAGTTTCAATCTTAAACAAGTTACGTGAATAACAGATGAAGTTTTTATCATCAAAAGCTCGTACATACTTAATCTGTCGAATCCATTCTTGTGGACAGTTTAACGGTGCTTCTGTAACTTCCAATTGACTGTCAATGGTGACGATATTGCCACAGTCAGTGAAAATGTATAGTTTATGATTGTCATATTGCAATTCTTTTATATCACAGGTGCAACGAACAATAAATTTCGGTTTTAAGGCTTCCATTGTGAGATCACATTTGAAGACATCTCTGTTGGTATAAAAAAATAGCAGATCTCGGTGTAGAATAAAATGATCGCATTTGAACAAGTCTTCCTTTATATACGAGTGACTTGGAACAGTTCTTTGCACAAACAAATAGTTCTTAATGTGAATGATGGTCACGTCGTCATTGTTTGCCATCTTCACGCATTGATTTTCGTGTATTACAACCGGTATGTATTTAAGTGTGTTTAGGTCGTAAAGGACCACACCTCTGGCGTCTTTCAGAGGCAAAATACCGTAATCAACTTCAAGAGCATGAGTTTTATCGTGCAAAGAGAATTTGTAGAACTCCCTTATGTTTCTTTCAAAAGATGTAATATACGTCCACATGTAAAGGTTTTTATAGATGTGGTACCAGTTGCAATCGTTACCTGACTTTCTTTTTGCGAGTTTTGAGGAATATCGGAAGTCTTCTCTGCAAAATTCATGCCAAAGTATGTCCGTCCCGTCGATTATCTCTTTCCATTTCACACAAACTCTGCGGCATGTGCCAAGAGTCGGGCCATCTGTTCTCCTGAGGATGTCGATGAAAGTTTCCAGTGGCAAGCTATTGATCTCCATATTTTCAGATATTTTTTTTACGAAAAGCTTATGCACTTTGGATTTCGTATGTGTTCACATAGTTTAGTCCAAAATGACACGAGTTAATTAATGACAGAGCATTGAACACGTGTATTTGACAATAATTTAGTGTTTAGATGTTTCTTTCAGATATTTTCATGTTATAATTTAGACAAATCGATGCTATCTCACTTTTTGTTTACAATTTTATCACTTGATAAAATCCCGTGATTTGTTTGACGTTTTGTTGTTTTACACCAATGTTGGCACCACTGACAATTAAAGTTATAGCTACGTTCATACTTCTAACATGAAGTTGTTTTTGCTCGAGTGAATTATAAAATATATACGAAAATGTAAAAACTATCCAGATTCCCTAATGTTTTAACAAACGAATATCGAATAATAGGAAAATGAATACGCTTTGAAACTTTAGTATTTAATCATTCATAATAGTTACTATATTGAACGCAGTCTAGCAATCAATGCAGCCAACAAATAATTTAAATAGGTTTTAGTCTAGGATTCTCCGGTAGGTATGTAGGTGCCCTAGTTTCGTCTACTATAACTAAAAATAGATTTATATTGATCGCCCTTCATAACGGATTTCCAGATGTCATGTAAAATCGATGAGTTCAGAATCGTCGATGAGTTCAGAAGCGTCGATAAAAGATGCGTGGAAGGGTGGAATATCTCGATGATGGAATAAATAGGCACACCCATGTAACTTTCTAGTTGTAACAAGGGCAAAATGTATCGTGATTACAAGGAAAACAAATTCGCATCTTGCCTAAGGCCCTGAAGATTGTGTTGACCTTCAGCTCATATCTTATTCAGGCCTACAATATGTTCACCTTGATGTCATTATGTGCCTATTATAATATTACCTTGGGTTGATAGCTTATACATTTTTACTTGATTTCTCATTACGAACATGCACGACCTGCATTCGGGCTGTATTTTGCTGTTGTGATGTAGTTGGAATACAACTCATATGACAACGACATAAGAGTAGGTAGGTACTGCATACGTTTCTCTGTACTTAACAAAAATGCTTTACATAGTCACTGCTCCAACCATCTATAATACTTTCCATAGTAAGCTAAAAACATCTTTCAAATCATAAAAACTTTCTAGACGTGAAGCCTTCTCGAAATGTCTTGAGGTGCATAAAGCGATTCTGCTCGATACGGAACATATAGTCCGCCGGCTCTTGAACTTGTGTTCCTGACCACGGCCCACTGTGCCATTATGGCCATTGCCTTGGAATATCGGCTCTCCTATTTCAAAATGTATCATTTAGACCACATATGGGCAACATGCGGCCCGCGGGCCGCATCCGGCCCGCTGTAAGATATAATCCGGCCCGCGAAACATTTTGAAAAAAAAACTCAATGAAAAAATATTAAACTAGGTACTTACACTCACAGCGACAGTGAAGCCCCAAACATCTAATCCTTTGATGTTTGCCGCCTCACTCTTTAATAAGGCCCGACGCCTCACGGGCGGCAAACATCAAAGACTTATTGCTTCTCAATTATTCTAAAACTAGTTTATTCCAGAATATTCCTTCATTTTGCCTATATAAGCGGGTGTATGGCCCGAACATTTGTGCAGTTCTATTCGAGCTACCGAGGTGATAACTTCGACAAGCGATATTCTAGCGAACTGTTTGAGCCGTGAACTTTGTGTGCATCTTGAGTGGTTGTGTACTAACTATAGTTTGTATTGTTATTAAGTTTAAAGAACGAAGAGTTAACAAAAATGATGTCTGGTGGAAAAAAACGAAAAGTAGATACAGAGGACCCCAGTTTCAAGAAAAATGGACTGAAGAATTCTTTTTTATTTTGCACAATGGTAAGCCTATTTGTTTGCTGTGTAATGAATCCATTTCAGTAATGAAAGAATTCAATATAAAGAGGCATTACTTAACTATAATAAGCATACTGCGCTACACTCACTGACAGGACAATTAAGAACAGACAAAATCCAGAAGCTTACAACAAATTTGGAGAAACAGCAACAAATGTTTCATAAACAAAGAACACAACTTGATAATGTTGTGAAAGCTAGTTTTATAGTTAGCTCAAAATTGGCAAAGGCATTAAAACCATTTGCCGAAGGAGAATTTAATAAGGAGTGTATGTTAGAAGTTTGCAGTGTTTTGTGTCCTGAAAAGAAAAATTAATTTGAAATAATTAGTTTGTCAAGACGAACCGTTGTTCGACGTATAGAAATGATGGCTAATGATATAAAAACAACATTGACTGACCGTATGGCTGGTTTTGAATCATTTTCCATAGCATTAGACGAGAGCACGGATTTGTCGGGCACAGCTCAACTGGCTATATTTATTCGAGGTGTTGATAAGGAGTTCACTGTTACTGAGGAATTGCTTGCTTTACAGCCGCTACAGGGGAGGATATTTTTAATGAAGTTCAAAAGGTATTCACAAGATTTGGCTTGCCATGGTCAAAATTAAAGGGAGTATGCACTGATGGTGCACCTTCTATGGTCGGCTTACGTAAAGGTTTCATCGGAATTTTAAATGAAAAAGCAACAGCATTAAATGTGCAAAAAGATGATTTGATAGTCCTTCATTGCATTATCCACCAACAGAACTTGTGTTCTAAGTCCATTCGACTCCAGCATGTTATGGATGTGGTAGTAAAAACCATCAATTTTATTCGATCTCGAGGGCTTAACCATCGTCAGTTCAAGGGGTTCTTGGATGAAATATCCGCTGAATATAACGACGTAACATATTATTGTGAAGTCAGATGGCTGAGCAAAGGAAAAATGTTGAAACGGTTTTACGAGCTGAGAAATGAGATAGCAGACTTTATGAAAATAAAAGATAAACCACTATCTGAATTGAGTGACCCAAAATGGATATGTGACTTAGCATTTCTGGTCGATCTAACAGGCTATTTGAATGATTTAAATTTGAAACTACAAAAACAAGGACAGTTAGTAAATGATTTGTACAGCCATTTGAAAGCATTTTAGGTCAAACTGCGCTTGTGGGAGTCACAGATGCTATCTGGTAATAGTTACCATTTCAACACACTCTCTACGTATGAAAATATTGCTTATGCTCAATATGCTGAAGAACTCAAGTTACTGTTGGAACAATTTTCGAACAGATTTAGCGATTTCAAAAACATGGAAGACTGTTTCAGTTTATTTGCAAATCCAACAAAAAGTAATGTACAAAATGCTCCAATACACTTACAAATGGAGTTGATCGAAATTCAAGAAAATTCACTCCTAAAATTTAAATTTGAAGAAGTAGAGTTGTGCGATTTCTACAAAAAATACCTAGAAGAAGACAATTTTCCGCAGCTTAAAAAATTCGCAAGAAGGTTGATTTGTGCTTTTGGCAGTACTTATAAATGCGAACAGTTCTTTTCGATGATGAAAATTAATAAATCAACACATCGTACAAGACTGACTGACGATAATTTGGAAAATTCTTTACGTGTTTGTATCAGTGGAATTAATCCAAATATCGATGGATTAGTTTCCCAAATTCAAGCTCAAGTGTCTCATTGATTGACTTTCGTAGTTTGTAGCAATTGCAAATTTATCGATTTACCGATATGATGTTGTACCATTTTTTTAAATTTCATTTTTTAAATAAATTGTACTAGTACTAGAATAACATTGTGATATTATTTTATGTCTGACATCTATTGACACTAATTACTTTAAAATGCACTAAGCACTTTTAAACGCGGCCCGCGAACCTATTTGCATACTAAAGTTTGGCCCTCAACATGTTAAAGGTTGCCCATACCTGATTTAGACCATGAGAGACGTGAGTCTAAAATATGATTATGTCAATGTAAATAACATATACAAGGATCAAAACACTTTATTAACATCTAATAACGCTCTTCTCTCTTTAGTAATAAGGTCCTCTTATTTATTTAATTAATTATTTACTTAATTTTATTATTGTACAGGAAAATAAAAAATCACATTTAAACAAGGAACAAAAAGGTTCTGTTTATTTCTCTTACTGCAGACCTAAATACAGGACACAATGAAACAATAATTAGTAAAATAAAAACAATATCAACATCATTAAATTGCTTTAATAAGTCCTAAAAACCGCCTTAAAAGTTCGTGGAATTACATCTTTTAACCAAGTTTTATTGAAATCGGTTACCGGACAGTACGCAAAACCGGATTCATCCCCTAGTTCGCCACTATACGGGACTTAACACAGAAGATAATAAAAATCCGTATTCACTGCATATAATAAAGAATATTGAGAGAATAACGCCATCAATTAGAGCAAGGCAAAATCAACCATTAAAATAATTGCTCCTTATGAAATGTAGGCGCTATTTATAAAAATAAAGATCAATCATGCGTGAACAGCCACCCTTAGAAGTGGAATATTTTCTTCAAAATTAAATGGGTCTCAAATCATTAAATTAAGCGAATCATCAAAATCGGTTCACAAACGCCTGTTTTAACTGTCGTAACATATGTACAAAGAAACATACTGTTTTTGAAGTCGGTTAAAAAAGTTTTAAAGCGCCAATATCTCTAATCATACCAAAATGCTAATGCACTAGTTATCTTATATAGTATACCTATTTCTGCCGCCAAGTAGTAATAGCATTACTGCTTTTCGGTTTTGAAGAATAAAGGGTGCCATAGTCTGTCTTTTTTGAAGACGGAGTAAAATGACAGTTCATTGCGCCAAAGTGCTGCCCGCTTACGAGCAGCTAGTGATTATAAATATTCTATCCACTATCGACTGAATATTGGTCATGTTTATGGAATAAATAGCCGAGCTTATTTGAATCATCCTCGACCATCCAATTACTGAGCACTAGTTTACTTGAATTGTCGATGTTTGTAAGTTTATACATAGGTACAAAAATACAAAAATACAAAATAATTTATTTTACAAATGAACTTGTGCAGGCACATTACAATTTAGACATTACAAAGAACCAGGTAACACAACTCAATTGTAGCTTACATCGCGTACAGAGAATTTCCTACGATTCCTGCACTAGGCAAAGCCTGTCTCGCAGGTAATCGATAAAAACATTGTTACTGTTTATTATTATTAAAAAGTTTTTTTTGAAAAATTGTACATATTATTAAACATATTATCAAACAAACATATCATCAAAAATTATTATTATTATTATTATTATACATATAATACATTATTTTATTTTATCTTATCATATTTTTATGTTATTATATTAGATTATATATATATTGTATAATGTATAATATTCATTCTATTTTTAATTCAATACCAATTACCTTATATATACATTTATATAGGATGAGTGTGTCTTTATGGCATTGTGTGTGTGTATGTGTGTGTGCGTAAGTGCGAGGGTGCGTGCGTGCGTGCATTTGAGTCGGTGGGTGTGTGCGTGCGTGCACGTGTATGGATTAAGGATTGAGGCAGTGAACTAGCGCACCTCCTTTAGCAAGTCCTCTATTTCATTGTATGTCAACGTGCGTAGCAACTTATTGACCCTATGCTTAAGTTCCGAATTTGAGCAGAGCTTGACGCTGTACAAGGTGTTAACTCTATTGTATATATACGGATGCATGAATTTTGGAAATCTTCTAGCGAAGGTGAAGTTTATAGCTGGTAGATGAAGTTTAAAAAGCCTATTTTCGAGTAACTTACAATAATTAGGAGAAGTCACTTCACGATGCACCAGAACCATAACTCCGAGTAGAAAGAGACCGCGAACCGATAGGAAATATAGTATGTATGAACTTACCACCATACACTGTATTTAGAACTATGATGATGAAAAATACAAAGAGGAGACATATTTTATATCAAATCCAGCTATTCTTGTTAAAATGTATGTGAATAAAAATGGATCTCGATACTTGAAGGCCAACTGTCAAAA